CAGTTCCGGTGAGAATTCATGACTAATGGGGTCCACGAAACCATCGAGCGAGAGGACAGATACTTCCCAATGAAAGAAACTGATAATGGTGTCATATATCCTTGACTGCCAGAACTCTGAATTTAAGGGATCAATGGGTTTATTTCCATATGCCAGGACGACTGACTAACCTCGTAAATTGAATTTCCCAGGCTCGATCACTGGCGATTAGGTCATGGATGCATAAAGCTGAAGAGGAATCACATACTACGACAAAATAGCCATCCAATACTCTCCAGTAGTTTTCACTGGCCCTCTTACCGAAGTGAGTCTGTAAGCAGACTTGAAATCACCCTGCTTTATGCGTGTAAGGACTTGAAAGATATATCACCTAGGCAACAGCGAGCCCAAGGATGTAGGTAGAATGAATGCATAGCCTTCAAAGCCATCTGGTAAAACGCTACTGAAACTTCAAAGCTCGACGTTTGAATCTTTATATTCCACTGGGTGTTCAAAGGAATGACAGTTACTCCAACCTTATTTTATTATTTTTCAGGAAGCTTTCGGGTACTTAATGTTTTCGAAGTATGCTGATCCTTAGTTGTTCTCTTAATTTTAGAAGGGAATACGGATATGGGAAGACAATTTAGACTTTGTCAGCATTGAATATTCTTCATTAGGCATAAAAATAATTACATAACCATGCAGTTACTGTCTAACAGAAGAATTTTATTCAAACCACGAAGTTGGTGTCCTTCTGGTGCTAATATTGCTAACCTTTTGCGAAACGGTTTGACTAAACGGGGTTTCTTATACTGTTCATAAGTATTTCTTATTAATGACAGCTTAGCAGAAAAGTAAGGTTCTACTTTTTGTTTAACACCAATGTCAGGTCAGCCAGTGCTTCTTTATGATTCAACGAATAGGTGCGTGATTCTTCAGAAGCATTTATGTGAATCTACTGCAAACTTATATCAACCAATATCTGCCTACTTCAGTGCTGCGACGGCGAAGATAAGGTGACTGGCTAACCAGAAAGGATAAGCAGCAAGGAAGTCTGTCATCGAGCGAGCAACCAACCTATTGTCCAACGGAAATACAGAAAGAATTGGTGATGTAGGATTGAACAAACGTGCTAAGGAGAAGTCTAAGTGACGCGAAATACCAGGTGGACCCTTACTCAAAACTCTAGTGGGAAGCGACATGTTGGGCATATGTATGAGGATGACATGGAGGATGTGAATGGGGAACGAGAGCGTACGTGCAGTCGTGGAGCCCGTTAAGTGTCAAAGAGAACACGCGAGTACAGTGAAGATGTGCTGCTGAGGCTCCATATGTCACTGAGAATGTTTCAAGCGGAAATTCCGAGAATTTTAATAGGAACTACTGAGCCGACAAGGACATCAAACTCATTGTGAAGTTGACAAATTACTGATTCTATCTGAATGTATGCTGCACTACGTCATGGAATGATAAAGCCTAGGAATTATATCGCATTGAATTTGGTCTCATAATCTGAGGTAGGTAGGAAACAACGCCCACCGGAAAGAGTGTCAGAATAAACTGAAAAAAGAGGGTAGCTGTTGAGAACCATCTAAATCTCTCCACAGCATGGACACTTTTACTGAATTTTTGTCCTTATTAAAACATAAACTTGGTACATTATGGCCAGCAAGAGATGCGTCACACAAAATTTTATAGTTACTATGAGGACTGAGATACCGCTCGAAAGCTCAAATTGAAGCAGGTTACTGTCTTAAGGGGCCACCCATCGCTCAGAGCCTTTGCCTTGAAGTCTAATCTGCACGGCAGTGGAGCAGTATCAGGAAAACTCCCACTCCTGTGGTTCTTGGAGACCAGAACACATTCAAGTGTCACTTGATTCTTCCAGATTCTGAAGCCCATATGCACCATAGGATTGGAATCACAGTCAAGGTTTACTGGCTTCCCCAGGTGGACGTACATGCTCACCAGTCCATTCGTGTAAGCTCCAGACGTTGAAATTCGGCCTTTCGCTTTTGCGCAGAACATCTGCCGAGTCGCGTGGAGGCAGTAAGTGGGACTAGCTTGGAAGAGGCTATGAAATTGTGGCCACATGAGAGCATTTCGAGAGGGGGGGGGAAGAGAGGGGGACGGAAGTTTAATCCACCTTCGAATGTTTTCAGGTTCTTCATGGAGGACTTTGACTAAATATCGTCCTAATTCCAGAATTACCAATTAAAGTTTTAGGAAATAGAGATAAAACTGAACAAACGCAGTGGAAACTGTTGGATGGGGTCACACGCTAGCCATGCCATCAAGAGAAAATCGAATGGGAAGGGTCAGAAGATGACATGGTGAAAATCGTACGGCGAGAAGGAGATAAAAGCTTATGGGTAGTTGTGGAGTCTCTTGAGGGAGATGCCTGACAACCAAACTGAACAGAGATATATTCCGATGGAATCCCGCCCCATATGTTCCACATGGAAAGTGATGAATGAATTAGAATGACGACGATAATGATACAAATAAATAAATAAATGTTTCAAACACGAGAAACAGCGACATAAAATTTATTCAAGGGTATTTTGCTTACTTGTAGAAGCGTTCCAGGAGTTCTGATAAGCTTGATTATCATTACACATGGTATAAGAAATATACTGAAACTTGCCATAAACCAACCCAATTTTACCGACCAGCTAGGAAAATGATAGACATGACTAGATGACGCCCGTTTATACGTCAGTTCTTCATAGACAATGGCACTGATAATGAAGAGAATCTGTGTGGCAAGTAGCCGAGGTAGGGGGGAAGAGAAGAAGAAGGAAAACAGGAATACTAAATGACTTGTTAAAGGCAGCAAAAAACTAAAAGAATAGAATTTTGATACTATTATTAATATTATTATTACAGTTTACAGTTTACACTACTGTTCTTTTCTTTAACTGACTGTATGACTGCTGACAAGCTTTCATCTCTATCGCCTCAAATGATCTCCTCCATGTCACTGCCTAACTAGCTGATTACTTCACATTGTGATTCCACTTTGGAGCTTGTCAAGCTTTTTCGGTTTCAGACAGTGGTCTCCACAGTGTATATTCAGTACATCTGATTCCGTCTTCTTCTACATATTTATTGGTTCATTCGCTGCTGAGTCCTTTGTTGCTTATTCTTTCCGGCTGCCCGGTTATCTGATCTTGAGTATTGAGCAGAGATAACGGCTGTTTATGAAAGTTTACAGTTGCTCTTTAGAAATGATTTTGGTAACTCTGATGACAAGTCTGCGAAATACACTAGAAAAACTAACTACCTTGACGTCGGTGTAATCATTTCGAAAGTTGTAGTTATTTATTATGAGTGTAACAGATTTTCATATCAATTTTAAGTGCATGAAGACCTGTCCTACCCTTCTTGATGCTAACCGTCTTTAACATCCCCGTCCGTCCTAACCTCCTGTAGTGTTGAAATGATGCCGCCTAGATCAGGTTAGTGAAAGAGGTAACTTCCTTTAGATACTTCTTGTTGATGGTGATAGATGCTTGTTGTTATTGGTTAGATATCTTCATCATCTCTGCTTTTCTGTCCACCTACTTGGAGTCCTGTCTTTGTTAGTTGCTTCTTCTAACAAAAGGTTTTGGTTTTCCTTCTTTGGATCTTGGAAATTGAGCTACATTAGGATATAATAATGGAGGAGATTTGTAACTACGATGAATTATTTTTATTTAGTTGTGTTCTCTGAGCTGGCTGGTTTAATTGCGAAGCCTATGATTAATATCACTCAAATTCGAAGATATAGAGGCGAAAACCAACAAGTTCTCGGAAGACTCAGCAAAGACAGCAGTTCAAGTGAGGATAGAGGAGGCGAAGGTGACGAAGATAACTAACCAGCAGCAACAACAAGAACAAGTCACTATCAACAAAAAACATCTGAAAGAGGTTACTTCTTTCATTTTTCTGGCTAGGTGGTATCGTGTAAACTACAAGTGGAGTAGACGAGGATGTCAAAGTAAGCCAGAATCGAAAAAGCAAGACAGACCTTCATCACTCTGAAGTCAGTTTGGAAATCTGCCAAACTTCGCTACAGCACACACAACAAAATTAAGATTTTCAACAAAGGTATTACGTGAGTCACTTCTTCCATACAGGTCAGAAACTTGACAAGAACGTCACGAAAAGCATTTCCAACATCCACCTGCAGACTTTTATCAACAGCTGTCTTCTTTGGCTCCATACTGAAGATCAGATGGCCGGCCAGAAAGAATTCAGCAGCAAAGAACTCTGATAACAAACCTATAAGAAACCTATTGTTCGAAAAATATGTCACAGCAAATGGAGATGGATTGGACACACGTACTGAGGAGACCATTGATTGACATCATACAGCAGCCAGACCGTTTCTGGAGCTGAAGCCGGATGGAGAAGGACGAGTTGGGCATGTGTCCGAGGGTGACACGGAGGAGATTTTATATTGAGGTGGAGATGATAGCTTATTGGTGATCGTAGGGAAAGCTAAAAAGACTTCAGAGAAGAGGATAAAACAGAGATGTGCCCTTGTAACAACAGACGACAAGGGCCTGGCATCAGATCGTTTACTTAGGAAATCAACGGATTTTATGGATTTTCATGTACATTATTATAGATTATCGTTAGCAGAAAAACACAGTCTTTTGATTGGTGGTTTCTCGCTGAACATTAATCTTTCATCTCTATGTGGCTGTTTCTTGAATTTCAGATTATCTATCTGCAATTGTATCCGCCTACGCAAAGTCTGCTGTGGTTAGTTGTTGAATCAGTCTTTGTTCTTGTTTTTCTAACGACCAATATTGAGGACGTAAACATTGACGTAAGTTACTGTCTACCAATTCGGCTAGCAGCCAGCTCTCCCCACACCCTTACAGCTGAAGCCTTAGGTTCTACTCGGAACACAAGGGAGTCACAAAATACAAATTTGTAATTGTGTATGCAATTGATGAGAAATTCAGGACAAAAATGCGCATTCGCGTGCTAAAGTCAAACTTTCTGGGTCAATGATTTCAAGCCTCTTATGGTTTGAAAGACATAGTAGTAATATCACTAATAGTAATGTTGCTTACAAGAGTGAATATCGGCGTTAATACGCACCAAAATATGAATGCCAACCATTTCAAGGAAACACCATACATTAATTTCATGTCATCTGAAATACGTTTGAAACCTGAAAAACAAAAAACAACAATTTTTCGTTACATGTCGCAAAGATTATTTCTTTTATTTTATAAAATAATCCCCATATCCAAGGATTGCTATTTTATCCATTCGTTTGTGTTCCAAGCTGCTGATCAGCTTTGCATATTTAGTTGCGATGGTTTCGCTAGTCTTACGCCAACCTCATGCTTCCCTCTTTGCCGGTATAGGCGAGGTTCACGAGCAAGCAAGTCATTGGCTTGGAACTGAACCCGCAACCACGTAAACGGTTATACGAGCACTCATCCAATGAACCACCTAAGCAATCCGTATTATATAAGCTTATTTTAAATATCACATGGTGATGGTGCAGAATTTTTAGCATGAATTACTTCCACTCATAATCATATCGTACACATATTTTCTCTCTCTTTCTCCCTCTTTCCCTTGTTGTTTGTTGTCACCTTCCATATCTCTGGTATGGTGATGAGCCATTCCGATGGCACGTGTGTGGTGTTGAATCGATAAACAAAGCTTCAGTGTTTAACCTCCCCATTCTCCACCTAACTATATTAGTTTTTTATACTCTCACCCTGTCACACTCTATTTTGTGATTACATGAAAGTGAATGCAGTGCAATTGCTGAACATTTTTCTAGGTTATTTAACTTACTTTTTGGTGCATAACATTATTTTTCTTAGTTATATCTGTTGGATCCTTCAACTGACATAGTGCATCGGTGGCGCAGTGGTTATGACTCTCGCCGACCATGTACATGGTCCGAGGTTCGATCCTATGCCGACGCACACCCGATATCTATGCTTGGCCTGCTAAATTTGGGCTATGGATATCACATGCTGAAAATTCCATACCTGTACCAAAAATTACGGTGTGGAATCAAGCTGTAATAAAAAAATAGTGTATGTCTGAGAGTGTTGGTTGGTTGATTTAAATGCCACCCCGACTAATTCCAGACTCATTGTGAATCCTACATAGCAGAGTCTCCAATGTTAACTTATTTATATGGCAGTACTACAGGGCTTTGATTTCTATAACATTTTTGTCATTTTCACAGATGTGGAAAGTGACAACAAACGACAAGAGGGAGAGAGAGAGAGAGGGAAAAAGTACAAATATAAAGCAAATCATGAAGCTGAGTTGATACATTGATATAGTTTTGAGCAATATACAGTGTTCGAAACGTCATCCAGTTGTTAATACTGCATCACTGTGCGTGATATTTAAAATTAACCTATCTAATATAGAAGAAGAAACTCAAGTTTATAGAAAATCAACTCACACAGACCGAATACTGAATTACAACAGCAACAATCCAACAACACACAAAAAGAATTACACACCAACACTAATCAAGAGGCCAGGACTCATTGCAGCACTCCCACCTTAAGGAAAACGGATGACAGATATCTCATGGACGTCTTCCAAAAGAATGGATATCCATGGAATTTCATCAAAAGACATATACCCCCACGCCAGCCAACCAAGCCAAAAGCCTCCAAGGAAAGCGCAAAGAAAATCACCTGGCTATAAATAAAGGATATCTCAGAAATCACTACAAGACTCTTAAAACCTTTAGGAATTGACGTCGCACACAAACCAATGGTGAAGCAGCGTTTCGAGTAACCGTTTCCCAGGAGCATTCTTTTCAGAGTGTTCAGATCCTCTTTCATAATATCAGGGCTGCAAATGCTGTGATTCAGTGAACGTATCAGGTTTTGTCTAGTATATTATACAGACATCGAACTATGAAATTTAGTGAGTTAGTTGTCGGCTTTCTGTAAATGGATCTTTTCAGTGTTCCTTCTTGTTCGCGTCTTGTTAGTTGAACGTACAGAAAAGATATTTTTTGTCAGACTCCTTTCCTAATGTGAACTGAATTAAAGGATGGAAGCTGTTAAAAAGGTTCAGAATGTCACATTTTCCGCTCGTTTCTATTTTGGATTTTGGCAGCAAAATTATTCATATCATTGCGTAATTCTACCACTTTTATTCAACATCTGTAACATTTTATTGACAATTAATTTCAGCAACTATGCTTATGTAACAATCACAGGTGAAAATCAACAATCTGGAAGAAGAGTAGCGGTCTGCGAAGACATGCACTCTCAAGTGAATATAAAGACGACATGGGTGAGGAAGATGCCTAACTGACCAAAAACAACAACAACAAGCATCAATCACAACCAGCCGAAGAGATTCGAAACACATCACTTCCTTCATATATTTGAGTGGTGAAGAAAATAGAAAGCAATTCAGAGAAAAAAAGTTATCCTTTATCGACAAAATCATCTTCAGAGGCTGAACAGTCGTATTTATATTTACCAAAAATGTTTAGTAGTCCATTACTGAGTAATGGCTAGGGGGGTTGACATAATTACTCAGAAGTCGATACAAAAGAGAAATCTGATCCACTCCTTTACCTCAGGAACAAGAAGGATATGTACCAGTGATACAGTCGGTAGTGAAATGGAACGATTGAGACAAGTCTTCACGGAAAATGGATATCTGTCAAGAAAGTAAAAGAGGAGCTTGAAACACCCTAAACGGTGCCAGAGAAACTGCTATTTATGAAAGTTGAAATTAAAGGTGATACAGCAGCCGAGATCTTGAAGAATTGCCTATGCAGATCACTGAGGAAAGCCTCCTTTGCGGCTGAGCTACGGATCAGTTTCTACAGCCGACAAATGGTCAATGGATGTGTGAAGGATAAAATGTCGCTTTGGGCCACTTCAATGTGTGTTTATAAATTCACCTCTTCCTATGGTGATAGTTATATTGGCCGCACAAAACGCATACTTTCCAAACGCATCTCTGAACAGTATACAGAATAGTTAGCAAGAGGGCAATGCAAGACAGTTTAGGGGCTGACGGTATCGACGTTCGCGAGTTGTACGGATTATACTAACGCAAGATCTTATACCAACAACCACTATAGTGTTCGTTCTTCGAGTACCAAATGGTAAAGCAAAAGACCAGATTTTGTCGTCCAAAGTACGTATTATATTTCGGGACAAAATCGCGGGTAGAGGTGAATGCTTAGCTAGCTAGTAATCGTGCACGCACGTGACACGACGGAGCACCAAATGGCGGGGATGCTTGACCGTAAGCCTTCAGCTAAACAAGTCGACTTAAACAGTGATGGTCAGCATCCAATGTTGAGTGATGATTGCTGTGGTTAATAATTTTGGGGAATTATTTACCGCTACAACAGTTACTAACTCAGTTCTCGAGCATTTGGTAAACTCAAGACAAGCAGCTCGATCGGAGTCGTCTTTTAAGATTTTCTGCAAGGTGAAACTGAATGTTACAAAAGGAGTTAGGTTTCGGCATTTATCTATGGCGAAGGCGCTGAAAATCCAACGTCAACACAGTCCCGAACTCTGTATACAGAAAAAAAATAGTCCAGTCTCTTTTTCTACTATGGTCTTGAACTCTTCATTAGTTTTCCCCTGTAATTTTTTGTTTTTAATTTTATTGATTAGTTTGCTTCAATTTCTAATAATTAATTCAATGTAAAAACACACATATGTTCTCACATTTTGTCACCCTCTTCACACCTGCTAAATGGACACTCAACTACCACCTTTCTTCTCACTCAATAACAACTTTAACCTTATCAAATTTCTTCCTTTTTGCCGTTGAGTATTTCGTAATTTATAACTTTTGTTTTTACTTTTGAAGCTACTTCTGAGCAATTGTGTGAATTATCACCTCCCTCTTATTACTCAATGATAAACTAATATACATTTTTGATAAATATAAATACAACTGTACTGAGTCTGAAGGTGATTTCGTCGATAAAGAAAACGGCTTTCTTGTCTGAATTGTCTCTCTTATATTCTTTATGGCTCAATGGGTATTTGGGTGGTATCGTTTCAACTAGGCGTGGGAGGCACAGATGAAGATTTCAAAAGCAGCTTGGATCAGATAAACAACCACAGACATTCATTAATCATCTGAAATCAGTGTAGAAATCCACTGTACTCCCTCAGCATAAAAAATAAGATCAAGATTTTAAACACTAATGTTCAGTTAGTCAGTTCTTCTATTTGGTTCAGAGGATTGGCGTGTGACAGGGAAAGCATTCCTAACAGGCTAATGCAGACTTTCTTCAACAGTTGTTACTTTTGCTAGCCCTTCCCCCCCCCAATACTGAAGATCAGTTGACCAGTCACAGTAAACATAGGCAACAAGAAAATCTTGCAGACTACGAACCAACTAAGAACCCAAAGGTCAACAAATAGGCTGAAGAAAGTCGAGATGAATGGGACGCATGCACTATGGAGACTATTCATCGGGTTGACCCTCGAGTGCAATCATAATGGCGAATGACGAGGTAAATCGACACAGCTCAGTTCTGTAGTGTGGGGAATTGTATGTTAAGCATTCGAAGATTTATGCTCAAGGTAGTTAGAGTTCATAAGACTCTGTTGCATTTTATCAGTGTCTTCATCAGCATACTCTAAGTCAACAAGAGTCTTTCCTCATGGTTATAGATCAGTCCCATAGTTGCTGAAGTCAGTGTTGCCCACAGTATTCCACCACTCAAGATGGAAGACAGAACATATACAGAAACTTATAATCACACAGGACTAACTTCTTCATCTCTTCCACTTTCGAATACCACATCTCACAACTGTAAAAGAGGATGACGCAAATTGCTGAACAGTAAGTATATTTGCCAAAAATATAAAATCAAATTTCATCAAGTCATTTTCAAAATAACTAACTCACCGTAGATGTATCCAACTGCTGTAGATTCCAATAATCCTACAATCAAGATGATGCGACTTCCAGTGTAATAATCAAACAACTGGAATACATACATTCCACCCTGAAAGAAAAAGAGGATTTTTTAAAATTATGATGTTTTCGAAGAGCTATTTTCGTCAAGGGGGGATTTGATTCGTTCAAAGTTCGATCATAGACTTATATCATCCAGACAGTCAATGAAAACCACCGACAGTAGCGATTACTGAAGAGCAGTACGCACCTACCACAGGGGTTGAAACTTTTGAAAATAATCTCATATTGTCTCTTGACTGGCTACATGATGAGGTTATTTGCATTTGTAATGGGAAGCCAAGTTACCAGCAGGGTCCACGAAGTCTGGTAAGAACGCAGGTACTCGCCGGCAATGACAGCGGCTAGCAATAGCGTTAAAATCACGAAATGGTAGGAGTAGGAATTTTATTGGCAATTGAATCGGGTCCCAGTAATGGCTGAATGTCATAGGAATCGGCTTAAAATAGTAATCACCTTATGACTTGCAATGTAATTCACTGTGTGATCGGATGGTTTTAAAATGTCGTCATCCTTCTCTTATCTTGGTCTTAGTAAAATCTCCAGTCAATCAGAACAATATATTTCCACTGTCCTGGTCCGATTTTAATGTGGTTAAAAAATAAATAAATATAATTTTCTTTCTTCTCCCAATGGAAAATTGTGTCCTAAAAGTTACTCCACTAGTTTTTATTTTGATATGTACATGGCTAAGTGAAGAGGGAAGGTACCACAGACGAATAGGCGTATTTAGCATATCAGTTGAGTTATTCATTGAGTCAGTGTTGTTATTATACCCGCATGCATAAACCCACTTGATTAAATCAACTGGGGACGCCATCAAATTGGTGACATAGATCACAACAGACCCTCTCTCAGTCAATGGGTGGTTTTAAGATCATTTATTGAATTCATGGCGACTTAGTAATAATAATAATAATAACAACAAGAATAGGTCAGGCAAGAACAGCATTAGTTTGTGCAGAATAAGGCGGTAATGTCAGTCAAATAACTGGGCTTGTGATCAGAAGGTGTCGTGGGTTAGTAGCCAGTAGTGGGTGTACACTGATGAACAGTCCCAATCACGGAGGATGAACAAGCTGTTCTGCACTCCAGTACTGGCTTTCCAGTGGTTCTCTAACTGATATCAATCCGTGATCAGACATGCAACCAATCGAATCCCTCGGAACCAACACTTTATAATTGTTTATTTCGTCGGCTTCTAATCGCCTCCGCATAAAACCTAAAATACTTGCAAATGTAGTGACACGATGTCAGTGTTAATGATAGGATGGACTTCAAACAAATTTATACACTGAAAGTCCAAAATTCAACATAAAAGTTGAAGGCATGGTACAAAAGTAAGATAGATAAATAAGATGATGAGTAACCAATAGAATGATTACCGATGTAGTGAGTTGAACTCAAATCATAGAAACAGGAAACAAGCAGAGTTAAAGTATGTTAGACGGAGGGACAGACTAAGGCCAAAGATATCACAATCAAATGTGTGTTTGAGAAAGGGAGACAAGAAAAACATTCAATTAACAAGTGGGCGCGGAGGGAAAACCGATAAGTGCTTCCTTTTGAACACACGCATAAATGGCGTTTCAGGCGTTTTTGATAGCAAAATTGCTTTGGAAAAATTAGGGGGAATTGAAATACACATATATATTGTCTATTGGTAAATTTGAAGGATTTCAACGTGTCCACCTTATGCGGTGCTATGGTGTGAAAGCTTTTATTCCATTCGAGAAATGTAGGCTTTTGGGTGCCTATTCGTGTTCTTACTTCTATGATTTGAGTTGGGCTGACCTCACCACATCACCTGCTTAGTTTATTAGTTATTCATCATCCTACCCAACTTCTTTGTCATTATGTCAGAGCATATATTATACTTTATTTCTTATGTTCGATGTATCAGCGACACGTCTGTATTGTGCAACAATAAAAGTCATGCTTCCTACCTCCTCAGATTACTCAACAACGCAGAATAAAAATACCAAGTTCACATGGAAGTGGTGAGAAATTTCATCGTCATTCAGCTTCAAGAAGATGGTAGTCTCCAGAGATCAACTAACCGAATAACCGATATGGAATGGACAATACCTACATTTTAATAATTTTTGTCCATATAGCTTTAGAGGTGAGCACTAGTTGAAACTCTGTTCTGCGGAGTCAAGAGAATATGCTTTACACAGAGGAATCAGAGGAATAATTTCTGATTCTGGAAAAAAAACGTTGAAAAAACAAGGGTTACTCTCAGAAACTGACTAACAAATACGGAAGATATGAAGGCTCAAATGCCCAAAAATCACGGTGAGAAAGAAGCGTATCTTCCTTCTGTTTGTTTTAAAAGGTGATAATATTGCAGAAATAGTCATCAGAAGATTGAATACGTCACTAGCCAATGAATCTATCCTGCAGCTAGTTATGGTGGTCCCCATTTAGGGGACAAGATGCCCCCTCTTGGTGCAATCAAAAGTCGACAGGTTCTCTTTCCATGTTAGTATTAACTGTATGTGCAAATTCACATGTATCGGCGGTAACAGTTACATTGGGAGAACAAAAAAATGACACACCTTCGATTTTCTTAACATGGACCACAAAAAGCCCACGTTTCAAGGGAACAAATGCTTGCAATAGTGCCATCGCCAGGCACTCCATCAATATGGGTCATAAGGTGGGCATCACGAAATTCCCTATAATTATCAACAGACAGAATGGTTCAACTCTTCAAATTTGCCAAGGTAACCGCTTTCAAACTCCTGAAAATAAAATTATAGTTGTGTTCAGGAAGGAACCGTTATCAGTCCTTCCATTCCCCCTTGGTAAGTGGATGTCTTTATTCTCTCTTTCATTTTTATCTTTGGCTTCAGTCGCATGTTCCCATTCAGTTTAATGTAGTTTCATATGCCTTTTGTTTCTGTGATTTGAGGTGAGTTGAATTCACTACACCATCACTCAATTTGTTAGTTGCTCATCATCTTATTTACTTAATGTCTTTATTACTCAAGTCCCCCTTCAGATTGTATTCAAACACTTGTCTTTTTTGTTTAGACTTTAACTTCCTGTGTATGAGTATAAATCACGTGTGATTTTGTGAGCACCACTTATTAATTTTGCAGTCCCTCCTATCATTAACCAGCATCATGCCACATAATTTGCAAGTATGTTAAAATTCTTCTTCACAAAAGCTGAAAAGTATACCCATTAATTCATTGCGAAAAACACAGCTTTCGTTCAGCGTGAAGAAATATTTCTTTTCAACGACTTCACTTTCAGCTAGCTGTACGGTCGTATTTATGTTACGGAAAGAGAAGGCATTAAGTGGCACTAGCTCATTTGAACACATGATTTAGGTTTCTATTCACGTATAGCTAGGCGGAAAAAGCGTAAGCTTTTCTAGTGGTTGGTTGGACATAGTCCGTTAGAAAACTTTGAAAAAGCAAATCACGTGGGGGTGGGTGGGGTTGAATGATATGACTCCAGAAAGTGTTCGCCAACTGAAGATTTCGCCATCCTATATGCTTACCTCTCATCAATGAAACCGTGTATTGTCCAGCTACGCATTTGCGGAGAACACACTTACACCGTCCAATGTAATCAGCCCCCCACGAATTTGTGAAGGAGTATATACATACAAAGGTGGACATAAGCGGTAGTTTATCCTTGACGCATTGTGGAATCATATTTCGGCTGGTAAATACCAAATGTAAGTTATCTGCATAAAAACAGCGTTTAATACATTCAGATAAACTACTTTTAGTTAGTTCGGTAATAGTGTTACTTCAGAACGACAAACTCGTAAACACTGTTTTTTCTGCCATTGTGATTTCTGGCTGAGAACAATTACTTTCTTGATGTTTCTATCAATAAATCCTCACGGATATCCATTACTTAAGAGAGTATTAGGAAGATTTTCTAGTTCTATGTCAACTGTGTCCTCACAAAGTAGAGTTTCCGAATTATGGAATACAGAGGACGGATAAGATTTCTCTTTCTGCTTAGAGGCACTCAACTTTTGAAGATGTTAGTGTACTGCCTTGTAAAGCTTGACTTTCGGTAAATATATCTTTAAAACGTGCCGTCCTCTTTTCTATCCAGTGGCACATCTAGTTAGTGAAATGGGGATTCCGACCATTCTTCGATACTGAAAAGCACAGATTAGTGAGAACCATTAAATTAAGCATTAAATACAGCTTGAAAGTAAAGTCTTTGAAAAGACACCAACTTAATTAATTAATGTCTTTAGGCTGTATGCAGAGGTGATGAAATAAAAACTGATGGTACCACGTCGTCTTATTCTGCACAAACCACTGCAGCTGTTCTTGCTTTATTCAAATTCAGAAAAAGGTGGGAATAACTGTGTATGAAATCAGAGATCAACTTACATTGGTGACCATAGATAAACCAACCAAATAGGATGCAAAGCATACACAACCGACAAATAGACAACGAATCCATGTCTTCGCCATTGCATGGGGGAAATAATCCGTAGCAGCGGTCACAAAACCTTCTACTCCACCAAACTGTTTAGAAACAACACAAACAGAGAAAGAGACAGAGAGAAGTAGAGACGGTTAAGAAAGCTAGTTTTTGTTTAATTCGTGGAAACTTCCCATTGGAACATATAGAAAATAAAATCGAGGAATTCAGAGAAGAGACTCTTTTCAACAACGTATTTATTATCAACCTGTATAATAGTATTTATGGATTTTAAGAAATTATATCCGAAAAGGTGGAAATAAATACAACAATAGTAGCATGAAATGCAGTTTAAATATTTGTGATTATAATCACAGTTTCGTTCCTCTCTCTTTGAAGTTGAATCTATCTCTCCACTATTTGATACTCTTGTTGTGCCGATGAACGTCTCTTTATATACTACTGATACATTTTGTCAGTAGCACCCTCCGCAAGGACAAATACTTACCCCCGTTAACATCTGCTGGTTCCAGTCGCGCTAAAATCATGAATCAGCAGGAGTTAGAATTCATCGACTGAACAGTGAATGGTCCTGGGCTTGAAACCCTGTGATGGATGGCGACTGCTGATGAGCCACAAACTAGGGCCCCAGAGGGCTGATCGCTGACAAAGCCATAGAAAAGATGCAGAAGGCTCGTTTGGCATTTGCTAGCTGATACTATCTCTCACGTATATGTGATTAATATACGGCTGGCTATCAATCAAAGGACGTGTATACTGTACAGCAGCAGTTTTCTCTGTCCTCCATTACGACTGTGAAGCTTGGCCATTGGAAATGGAAGTCATAAAAAGCCTGGCCAGCTGTTTTTCATCATAGGTGTCTGAGTTCTATCTGCCATATTAGTTAAGTGGTGTTATAGGGTGAGAAATACTGAGGTGAGGCGCCGACGAGTGCACGGTTAAGATGGAAAGTCAATCGATGAGGATATGAAGCAGAGTTATCGGTTGAGATGGTTAGGACATGTGCTACAGATGCACACCAGAACACTGCCTTTATTGATGGGAAATTTTAGCCGCTGACATAGGATCAGGTTGGAAAGAAGTTGGTGGTCAAATCGAAACATGGCTTCATCAGTCGATGAAATCCATAACAGCTAGTTTGAGCCAGCCAGCCATGTAGGGAGGTGTAGACAGCCTGGCTGGGTAGTTGGGATAATCAGAATGACAACTACCAATGACAGCTGAAGAAAATTGGAAGTGGTACGTCTCAGTGATGGCTTAGATGCATCCACCCTTTGTGTGATTTGCCATATAATCTAATAAAACTCTGTTCTTCTTCCATATTACTTACCACTGTTTTTCCCTCACTCACACTTCTATTTATTACCTCTCTCTTGTGCTTTCTGTGCTACATAGAGGCTGAGTAGCAACTCAATTTGCTGCGCATCTGTGCAGGGTCCTGTTTTGAAACCAGTTTTTCTATCAGGTTGGGTGTGAGGACAAATACTCGCCATGGATGAAATTGGCTAAGGCCGGTCACATTAAAATCTCCAGGAGGCAGAAGTTAGAAATCACGGGACTTAGAGCCTCAGCTTTCTGTTTTTCCGGTTTTTGGCAGTCTCCAATTGATATGCTGGTGTTTATTACAAGAAATATACATATTGAAATGATAATGAAGACACTGGGATTATTAGCTCACCATACTGTCAATTCCAAGGAGTATAATCATTGAAAAGAAACATATTGACCAAAATGGACTTCCTGGCATTGTCCCGATGGCTTTTGGATAAACAACAAACCCCAGACCTGGACCAGATTCTGCGATTAAACTCAGTGGGATATTTGATATGTGCGACATATATCCAAGGGTTGAGAAGATAACACAACCGGACAAGAGACTTGTAAATGTGTTAGCCAGTGCGAATAAAGTGCAATCTCTAGAAGTATAATAAGCGGAGAAAAAAGGGACATTAGAGAGACTATATTAATTATATTACAAGCATTTTCTAACATACTGATCAACTTCTTTCAGCCACAGACATGTATCAGGTGATCCATAACGGATAGCTCAGGTCGTGTAGCCTGCCTTTGAAGTGAGCGAAGTTAGGAGTGTAAGGCAACGCTACCTACTCTCATCAATGGTAATATTCCTAATTGTGGTGTACTGTATTATGCGGAAGACTGTGAGCGATGAGGAATAAAAAGTCCCTAGAAAATCTATAATTTGCGGTTGGCTTATGTCTAATGTCACACAAACTCGAAGATCTACAGGCGAAAACCAAGAATTTGGCGGAAGAAGCAGGCACTGAAGATATCACTTCATCTAAAAGTAGAAAAGGCATTCTGTCCCAAACGGTCAATGGATGGTCAGCAAGGCTGGCCTTGTAACATGAAGCTTCTGCATTGTTCAATCCCTGATAATGAGACCATGGATGTATTCTGCTGGAGTCCCAATAACGGACATCACAGCTCACCAGTAATCTCTCTAACTGATATTGGTTCGTGACGAAAATCTAACAATTAGAATTTGAAAAAAGTTCACGCTTTGAAAAGGCTGTACACTGAGGATGTTGTCTAGAAAGGCAGAACAAGGATATCAAACTAAAAAATCAATATTACAGTCACGTGATCACCTATCATCCAATCAAACTGTTAACAACTCGGAGATGAGCTTTCACTTACCTCAAGGAATTATGATGAAATTTATTATAACTCCCGAAAGCTGTCAATACTCCTAAACCGATACTGTAACTGAAAAAGATTTGTGTTCCAGCGTCAGACCATACCTTGAATGAAGGGGAGTAAAATTAAAAATTAAAAAAATTATTTTGAGTTTTTAAAAATCGATACACATTATCACGTTGAAGTGAAACGCTCACTCAGTGTCTCTCATTCTTTTGTGGCATGTGTCGGCTGGCAACCAGTAGGCGGACGCTTCAACAAATTTGACGGAGTAATTATTTGGAAAATACCCCCTGAAAGATCACATTACAACATCTCCACTTATTTAGATGTTTCAGCTAACTTTGTAATTATCATCCTCTGTTCTTCTAGACTGTCCTATCATTGCATCTGACATTTGCATATCATAAGTTCATTTGATCCATATTATTTGTCTTTGTCCCTGTTTAATCTCTCATTTTAATGTTTCTCTTTTTGGTTGACTTTGTGGTGAGTTTGTTTGAATGAAGTCAAGGTGTAACGACAGAAGACAAGGGCTAGGGAACAAGTCGTTTATTGAGAAAATCAACAGATATTTATAGATTTTTATGTACATCAGTATAGGTTATTATAAATTATTTAAATTAAATTAATCCCAGGGTGTTCAGAAAATCAAAACAAGATTTTCCTGAACGTTTCGTTATGTAAGCCACAGCTTCTTCAGCAGATTTATTCGAATTTTTATTAATCATCAAAATATATGGTCAAAACATTTTTTACATAAAGTCAGTTTATAATTTAGGTTATTGTCATCAGAGAAACAGCGTCTTCTCATTGGTCGTTTTCTCACTGTAAGTTAATCTGTCTTCTCTTTGTGGCAGTTTCTTTGAAGTTCAGACCATATATCTGAGAATCGTATCCGCCCACGCAAAGTCTTTGTTCTTGTTTTTCTCATCACCAAGATTTGGGAAGTAAACATTGACGTAAATTGCTGTCCGACCAATTTTGGCTAGCAGACAGCTCTCACCACAAAGGTAATTCTGAATGCATAGACAGGGCTTTGATCCCACTATGTTGCTGGAATTATTCTACTTGACTACAAAAAACCTTGAATTTCGGTCAGCTAATTTCGCTCTACAATACTTGTTTTGTACTTCGAATGTTCTCTTTTCTGTATAAACTGCCTAATGTGACTGCTGAGATAATTTTAAGCTCTTGATGTGTTATCATTTCTGAATAGAACCACACATATAGATTCATTTAAGGTTAATTATCTTTTCCCATCTTTGGAGCTTTTTGTGACTTTGCGTTTTCAATGGGAATTTCGGACAGCTATACAGTAGAACGTGGAGATCAATTACCTGTGTTCAGATGATACAGTGGGTCGGTATGGGTTGCTACAATGGATGGTATCTAAGATGGTTTAATGTGTTGTTGTTTGTTGTTTTGATTGTTGATGGAGGTGACTAGCAGCAGCAGTATGGGCAGGATCCAGGATGCATGAATTTCATCCTGCTTAGGACTCTTCAGTCTGGTGAATGCATCAAAATTCCCCAGTGATGAGTAAGTGATGATGTTTCCACCACTGAGACTGAACCCACTGACTTCCACTGCTTCCAGTTCACTGGTAATCACAATTAAAGACAGTTTCACTCTAGACAGCCATATGACAACACCACGTGTCAAGTGATTAGAAACGGAAAGCTCAACGAAGCTTGCCTTTCGAGTGATGACAAGGCTGTTGACTACTATCACCTATAAAGATATTCCTTAATGTGGTGCACTAGATTATTCGGCACACGATGAGTGGAGAGTCAGAAGGCGGGGATATGTTGAGTCGATAAGAAGACTCTAGAAGATATGAGCTTCATCGCTGACTTCCTATAGGCCCTCATCTCTTTTGAGTAGGATCTCCTGCATGTCACCCTCGAACAGCATACTTGTCTTTTCCCGTTCGCGTTCCATTCAAGCGATGGTCTGGTTGGCACGCGATGTCACTCGACGGTCTATTCAGCATGTGCCTAATCCATCTCCATTTTATCCTGCATATCTGTTGAGTGACAGATTCTTTATTAGTTTTTTTCCCATAGTTTTTTGTTGAGAATTCTTTCTGGCCATCTCATCTTCATTATGAAGCCAATGAAGACAGATGCTGACAAAAGTCTGTAGTAGCCTGTTCGAATTGATTTTTGTCACGCCCTGGCCAAGTTAATGACTCATATAAAAGAAGTGACGTACTGCCTGAACACTGGTGTTGAAAATTCGAATCTTGTTGTTTATGTTGAGTGCAGAAGATTTCTAGACTGATTTCAGGTTGATGAAGGCGTATCTTTCCTTTCCAATTCTAGATGGGTTTGACATCATCCGTTTGGCTGGACGTAGTTGAAACGATGCTTCCAAGCCACTGACAGTGATTAGTGTTGGTTGTTGTTACTGCTGGTTGGTTATCTTCATCACCTCGATCTTCTCTTTGTTCATTCAGAGTGTTTTCTTCGCTGCCAGCCTCTTCACTCAGTTTTTTGGGTTTTCAGCTCTACATCCTCGAGTTTTCGTGACATTAAACAAAAATGATCTACATGTGAAATCCAGATCTTCTAGAGTCTTCTCATTGTCAAGAACCTATTACTCCACGAGTATGCCAAAGAGAATGGAGATGAATCAGATACATATACTGAGGAGACTGCTGACTGACATCTCACGGTCCTTGTATGGGACTCAAATCTGAAAAGACAAATAATGAGCATGTGATTTCAAAGGTGATGAGTGATAATTGTTCAACTAGTTGAAAAGACGTCGTGTAGAGAGTTGAATAAAATGAAGAAAATGACCAGTAGAACTTACTGTCATATCTGTTAACTTTGACCAATCCGGTTTCAGATAGTGGATTAGACCATCTGTAGCACCTTCCAATATTGCAGTTCTTATCAGTAGTGTAATCATAAACACATAAGGTAACAGGGCAGTAACATACATAACCTGGAAAAGATTGAAAAATATGGAATGATTGGAATTCTCAATTTATACAATTCAAGGTGAGATGTTTTGCTATGGGTGTCACCTGGAAAACCAAGCTACTCAAATCTCCGCATGTGTTCCATTCGCTAGCATAAACAGCACTCAACAAATCAAGCAGCAGTGCATGGTAGTCTATGGACTAATAATTGACTGGTGTCAGTAGTCGGATACGACGAACTGCATCAAAAACCGCTGGTGTATGTTAGCTAGCAAGTCAGATCAAAGTAATCTAAACACCCGCCGGATGGCCATTTCATTTGCTGTATATATATATATATATTTATGTATAGTAATACATTTATGGTTGCCCCCTTGCCCGTCGTTTATGGCGATTACTTGCGTTCGCGCATAAAACCTGTGATGAAATTTTGCCTCAAACCGTGTTAATCGTGAATTTAGATTCTCGGTATTCTAAGTTGGCCATTGACATCAGGTGAGTTCAATAAAATTGGCTCTTTGAGAACTGAGATATTTAGAAGAAATAGGGCTTTAATTGGGTTACATCTCCATTTCATCCGTTTTCCTAAAGTTCTTTAGGGCGATCTCCATCATAGCCAATAAGATTTCATCTCCTCAGCCCTCACTCTCCTCCGTATCAAATTTGAACAGCCAACTCTTCAGTTCCCATTGAGATTACACGCAAGGTTCTGATGGGTGGTGTCAGTCAACAACCTCCTCAGTATGTGTATCCGATCCGCTTGTATTTCCTTCGTCATATTTGTTGTGCAATAGGTTTTTGGTTGGTTTGTTGCCAAATTTCTTTGTTACTAATTCCTTCTGGCCCACCGTCTGATCTTCGGTGTCGATCGAAAGCAGACGTTGATAAAAGTTTGTGGCGGGCTGTTTGAAATAGTCTTTTGACTTGCGCGTCAAGTTTTTGACTCATTTAGAGGAACTAACTGACTAAAAATTATTATTGAAACTCTGACTCTTGTTCTTTAAGTTGTGCTGGAGTGCAGTAGATTTCAGAATGATGAAGCTGTGCCTCTCCTCGCTGTTTCGATCCTGCCTGTCTTTGATATCATTATATGTGCCATCCCATGTAGTTGAAACGATACGGCCTGTCAATATAGGTAAAGTGAGGTGACTTCCTTCGCAGTTCTGCCGTTGATAGTAACTGATGCTTGTTTTTGGAAGGGTTAGGTAACTTCATCACCTCTATCCATTCTCAAATTTATCCTGAATTCCTCAAGGTGTAACCTTCGCGAAATCAACGACTAGGCGGAACATTTTATTCTCTGCTGGCCTAGCTTACCTTAAATGTAGCTGAAAATTTATAAATATGGTGTATTTTTCCCTTACAAAATTTCGTTACGAAGTCTCTTGTCTTCTCCCTTTACACTAGCACTTTGATTTATGTATTTAGTCTCACTCATAGTCAGTGCAGCAGGGTATTAGGAAAAGTAAACTAATTTATTTAGTTTAATAGTCTTGATGGGATCAACCATCCATTGGAGATAATTGGTTTCTAAGTGGCTTTGTCGTGAGTGACTGAATGTTATTCACTTTCATTAGCTCACTGTTAAGAGTTCTAAAAAGGTTGGTTTCATAAGTTCTCTGTTCGCATGAAAGTATTACTGATGATGATAATTTAAATTCCCCTTCATTGTGGGTGCGCTGTCACCACCTCCCTGTGAATTTGTTTGTTCTGTCTGTATTCCGTAATTTATCAAGTTAATTATTAGTTTTTGTGCGTCTTATTTACTTCTTCACTAGATTTTGTTGGTAAAATTAAACTTTATTTTGCTCTATTGTCACTTGAACATTTCAGCAATCAGAATTTTACTGATATAATATGCAATGCACTGAAACCCACTTATCACTTTCACTGCGTGTGTGAGCGGGCTTTGAAAATCCACTAGGGTGTCTAACTTTCCATCTGTCTTCTCTATTTTATGTTATAACCTAACATTAGAAGCTTCTCATTCTATGGAAAGTTTTGCTGCATAAGTGAATTTAATTATCTCTACCATTTGAACTGATGTATTCTTAAAAGTCTTCTGATATCTTGTGTTTTCTAACACTGTGAATGTGTGTCATCTACACACCTCCACAATTCTTTTGGATATGACTTAGGCTGAACATTCCAGTCGCTAATTACTCCCAAGTATTCGTACCATAAACCCATCTGACACTGTACCATGAAAACTCCCTGAACAAATCTGCTCGTGTATTTCACCTGTAGAGTTCAACAGTATTTGAGAAGTCAGGTCTAGTTGTACTCCCAACATGTTGTGTCTTCTAGTAAAACTTTGGTTCTAAGTTCAGTTTTACTTTCCTGGTTTGGATTATGTGTCAGACTTTAGGACACAAGAAAATATGGATACGTTAGACAGAAAGCTCCAGGTGGTCTGAATTTCTCGCGAGGTTGATTTATGTCTAATTTCACATAAATTCTAAAACATGCAGGCGAAAACCAACAAACGTTGTCAGAAGAAGCAGGCAACAAAGGTAGGACGGTGCAAGTGAACACAGAGAAGACGGAGGTGATGAATTATAACCAACCAATCAACAACAAGCTTCAATCTCTGTCAACGCAAGAAATTTGAAAAAGTCCACTTCCTTCATTTATCTAGGCAGTATCATTTCAGCAGGGTTGCTGACATGGATGAGGATGTCTTCACGAAGATTGAAGAGGCAAGGCAAACCTTCATTACTCTGAAGTCCATTTGGAAATCTGCTGCACTGGTCCCCAGAATAGAAATCGAAATTCTGATTTTCAACAGTAATGTCAGGTCAGTTACTGCTTGGGCTCGAAAACATGCTGAAGAAACTGAAGAAGGATTGAAAACACACTAAGAAAGCATTTGTCTGAAATCGAGTGCCAGCCAAGCCGTTAGTCAAGTGGAGTCCGAATGGCAAACAATGAGTTGGGTGTCGCAGAATGATGTACAGGAGACCACGTGTAAGGGCGGATCCAGACAGCTAAAGAGGAATGCAGAGAACAGAATATAATCGAGACATGCTTTTGAAGTCTTATCTTCACCTAGGGAACTGAAGGCATAATATTATTATGGCTGTCATTATTAAGTGTCAAACCTCAGATTTTCCTTGGTACTACTTGGTTTATTTTACTCTATTGTCACTTAAACATCTCACCAATCCGCCTTAAAATGATCAAAATCCAAATGATAGTTTTAGTGTGTCAGTAAGTTTTCTTTAAACACTAGTGTTCTTGAATTCACATCTTCTTCCTCCATTTTATGCTACATTGGAAGATTTCATCTCCATTTCGATGACGTCTGCAACTCAGATGAGGTGACTTTCTCCACTTATCTAGATGGCATCGTTCCAACTACAAACAAGCATATGGATGAGAATGTCAAAGCAGTAAGGATTGGAGAAGCAAGGCAGACCTTCATTACTCTGCAGTCACTGGAAATCTACTGTTTTTTGACATAAAGAGCAAGATATCAACTTCTAACATTAATGTCAAGTGAGTCAGTATTTCTATACCATTCAGAGATTTGATGCGTGGATCAAGATAGTCATTTCCATCAATAGTTGTCTTTGCTGACTCTTTACTGAATATTAGGCAGCTACCAAGAAAAGATAGGCGAACGGAAAGTCTAGCAGTGAACCAATTTAACGAAGAACCCATCGCTACACAAATATGAAAAATAAAGTGAAGATGGAATAAGTGAACACATGCTGAGGAGGTCACTGGGTGACATAGAACTCCCAGAAGCCCGTCGATTCGAAGTTGAAATGGAAAAGACAAGTTGGGCGTGTCAAAACGAGAGTACCAACACAAGGGTGATTGAGTGGGACAAGAAGGAAAAAAAGAAAGCTTATGTTAAGTTGTAAAGCCAAATAAAAAGGAGACTGGATTGGAGAGGGTGATGCGTCGCAGTTGATGTCATATTTTTCACTCGAAAGCCGATAATTCAAAATATACTGCTTACCTTTGCCGAAGTTTTAATACCCTTGCAAATGCATAAATATATGACAATCCATGTAAGTAAGAGGCATAAGGCTAAATCCCATTGAATGGTTCCCAGATTATGTATCCCGTCGGATATGCGCAGAACACGATTTCTGTTTGGGAAAATCAGAGAGAGAGAGAAAGTGATGCAGGCATACATATATGCATATATATGAATTAGAGAGGAAAGAACAAGAAACCTAACTCATTTGAGAAGTACTGTAATTGAACACCTCATCAGCACATCTTTCACACACCATTTCAACTGTCTTATCCATATTACAGAGTCATTTACACAATGAACGAAAAATATCTACCAAAAAGCAATGAGTTTTTGCCCCTTTTTTTGGTGATCGCAGAAGCCCTCGCACAATATGCATTGAGATACCGGAAGGAGCGTATTCGAATACGAAAAACAACAGTCCAACCTCGACAACATTTACCATGAAAGATGCATCTGGTTCTGCTCGACTTCTTAGTTTTCGTTTGTTCATCTGTTTGTTTTTTCATTCCTTTCATAATTTTTCAGTTTTGGTCATAAAATAACGACGATTGTTTCAGTCTGTATCCCTCTGTTCGTTTTGTTCATAACGTTGCATAACTATTTTTTAAAATCCTGTATAATTTTGTTTCCATGCGCCCTGGTGATCTATACTCGCAGATGCTAACAAACTTCCAGTGTCATAAGTGGACTGACGCACTCTTAATCCCCGTTTAGTAGGTTATTCTTATCTTAGCAAGAGAGGCAAGGTTACAAGACACAAAAAATAGGCACCACTGCTACTGAAACTGCAAAGCTCTAGCTGGATGCGTCCCATTCGCCACTTGAAACCAAAACGGTCTCCTCAAACGGTTTCCTCCAACCTATCACTGAAACAAGACTGATTCATAAAACATGTCGAAAGCCATAAGTTGAATGCAACAGTGGCTGATCGTCTGTAAAGAGGTGTGATGTCATCATAGTTTACGTTGTGGACATGAAATAACCTCACTGGACCACCTGTTTAGCCTTGGGCTAGTTTACAACCAATCACAACAGTTTATTCTCCTCCGACCTAGTCTATCTTTAATGTGTCTAAGAATACATAAATGTAATATGTGTTTCCCTGATGAAGGTCTGTTACCAAGTCTGTCGTATTCTTCTATTGCATTGAACTAACTATGAAATGGTTTGTTTCTAAGTCAACTTTAATTTTCCAGTTGAGTGACTGGACGGTAACGTTGAACCTCTGTCAACCCATTGACTCCTATTACAGACGTTTCTATGATGTCTAACAGATAACTTAGAATAATTTGGTGAACAGTGACAGACAAACGGTGTGCGGAAATCAGGATGCACATTTCTTTGCATATGGAACTTATCATCTGGATGAATTCCTGAGTTTCCGAGTGGATGGGCGACTGTGTTCCTACTGAGCCTCGATCCCAGTACCCATCGTTTTAGACGATGATTTATATCATTATTAATACTCCCTGTTGTCTTCCATTTCTTCCTGTCCTCTAAATTCCTCTTTAGCTAGCTGGTCGCCCATGTGCTGTCATCTCCTCCACACACTACACTCTCTTATTCCTTAATTACTTCTCTCACTTTATGCAAAATTGTGCATCGTGCAACCCACTTGTTTGAATCATTTCTACTCTTTAATTGTTGCATTAGGATTTCTACTCAGTTATTACCTCACCGTTTGACATGTTGATATTTTTAAATAATTGTTATATCATTTTTCCTTTGGGTTGCGAGTGGAATGTGAGGCTTCAGCTGAAAACCTCTAATTCTTCCTTCTTTCTGCGGTCGTCTTTAACTGCCCTCACAGTTGCAGGTGGTCTGTGATCTCTCCCTTTCATGATCTTCTCCATGTCACCCTCGAATGCCCCACTCATTGCTTAAGCTTCGAGTTCCACTTGCTGATCTGCCTGTCGCTCGGTGTGATTTGGCATTCTTCTCAGCTTGTGCCCGATCCATCGACATTTACCTCGGAATTTTCGCTGAGCAAAGGGTTCTTGGTTTGTTTGTTTCCATAGCTTCTTGTTGCCAATTACTTTTGGTCATTCAATCTTCAGTATTGATCCAGCGAAAACAGTTGTTGACAGAAGTCTGCAGTAGCCTGTTCCAAATTATTTTTGTGACACGCTGACCATTTTCTGACCCATATAGAATAGCTGACTGACTGACTTAACATTGGTGTTGAAAATCTGAATCTTGTTCTTTATGGTGAGTGGAGGAGATTTCCAAACTGATTTCAGAGTGATGAAGGTTTGCCTTGCTTTTCCGATTTTGGTTTGGTTTGCCATCTTCATCCATGCCATCTCCTGAGGTGAAATGGATTCGCTTTGATAAGTTAAGGAAATAACCTCTCCCAAATTTCTCCCATTGACAGTGACTGGTGATGGTTATTGTTGCTGCTGGTTGGTTATCTTCATCATTTCCGTCTTCTGTATGTTTACTTGAAGTACTGTCTTCACTGCTTCTTCAGCCCGTTTTTTCGGTTTCCACCTGCAAGTCTGTGTGAAATTAAACATAAGTTATCCAAGCAGGAAATCCACATCTTCTGGAGACTTGTTATCGGTTCAGCGTAAATCTCTGTATTCTTGCTTCACAGTCTCCAGCATAGTCGACTCCACCATAGTCAGAAATATCATCGGTGGCAATAATCAGCATTGTCTTACTTCCGTCTTCATTTCCAAAGCCTCGCTGAGTTTTCCGTTGTGGAACACCTGACATGTATCATTGTCGGATAGCCATGATTGAATGAGATTGATGAAGATTTCAATGCTGCACGTCATGGAGTTGAAATAGTTTCCAAATTACTTTGCAGTCAACGCCGTTGAAGGCCTTTCCATATTAGTCTATGAAATTGGAGTAGAGAATTGCCTGCCACTCTGTACTTTGTTCAATTTTGATTCATAGGGCTGCAATTTGATCCTCACACCATTGGCTTTAACTGGTTAAATCTTCTGTATTTAATTAAAAATGCTATACGCATATTTAAAGTACAGCCAAAAATTGTTGAGGATATAAATGAAGAGTAAACATATATCTTCGCATTCACTCCTTCTGCCTCCTAAAAACAAACAACTGGTGGCACAAAATTCTATGAATAGCTTCTCCTCCTCAATAATTTCGCCCAGAAACTCCCGATACATGATGGATTCTCTTGCTTTGTTGTTTGCTCTCAATTTCTGATTCGTATTTATATCGCCATTTAGTGTACTGTCCATTAATATTTGTAGTTCTCTATACAAAGCCTTCCTTGTTCGCTTGTTCTGAGTTGTTTTTGGGAGCAAAGAATTTTAGATAATTGTCGGTTTTCCACCTTCTGAAATGAATCTTCTTCCCATTCACTTGGAGGTGGAGACTGAAAAAAACCTCAGCACACCAAGGCATAAACAACAAGGTTCGAATTTTCAGCCCTTATGTTTGCTCCATTGGGGACCATTGGGTTGGGTTCCAGTGAATTAATAGTCTACTAGCCTGTCTCGCAACTGGAAGGACCTGGGTTCGAACCATCTTTGGTGGGTGCCTACTAATGAAGAGTTCAAAGCAGCCGTCATGTACTCCCTGGTTTTGCAACAGTTCTCTGACTGATATCAGCTCGTGATCAATCCTGTGACAAATCGAATCCCAGCAAATCAACGCCTGATAAGTAGCTAACTGAATCGCTGTAGCTTCAAAGCCTCAACAATTGATTTCCCCTCTCTACCTGACCATCAACAGTTAGTCTCAATACCATTGACCACACTACACATTCCAACACTGGAGGCAAAACCCAGACATATGTAGTCAGAGACCACTAGCCTGTTTATATTTTCCACGCCTCACAGTCATATGGAAGGACGGAATGGACTGTTGCCTAGTACACACATATTTTGATCAAATTCCCTTATTTTGTCAATTGTTTTCAGGACAAATGTTAGTAATTTATTCACCTGATAGGAATCGTTGTTTCATTGGTAGAATTTTACCCAGCCAAGCGTGGTAGGTCCAATTTCGATTCCTGGCAACCGACGCACACCTAAAAGTCACCTAATCGGTGGGATAGGAAGTCAGAATACCAATCCCCGTAAGTAAAGCAACATCAAAGCTCAAGCTTGAAGCCAATGGCCAATGCCCCGCTTGGAATGAGAAGAAATAAAAACGAATCCAACCGAAAGATTTCGCCTGTATACACCTTGAATCTGTCACACATGCGGACATACGTAACGGTATTGTTGATAAAAGACGGAATGTCATACCGTAATCAAATTCATAATAATGACCGATTTCGTTAAACTATGATATCAATGTGGAGATCGACTCAGTAATTACTTAGCACAAAGAATAAGAGTTCCGAATTTTCAACAGTAATTTCAACCCCGTTACTCAGTCAGCGCCTCCAGATGATTGAAAGTGTTGGCTGGTGCGTGCTGGCAAAACGTATTTGTAGCGGGGTAGTTTAGATTTGATTTCACTTCCCCGATACTTAAGATCAGATTGATGGCTAGCCAGAAAATATAATTGCGGAGAACTCTAACTGTTATTATTCCCTTTGGCTCTATGTGAAACACACGGGGCTTCAACTGGAGCACATCTCCGCTTTATCCTACTCCCTGAAGTCTACTTGAGGTGGCTTCAAGATCTCCTGTAAGCTTCTGTCGCCCTCACGTCACAGTTGAACTCATACCCAACTCGTCATTTTTCTTTCAGGATTCGAGCGACGCCTCGTCCGGCGTGTAGTGCCACTCGACAATCTTCTGCTAGCATGGATCTGGTTCATCTTCGTTTCCTTCTGCATATTTGATGGGAAATAGGTTCTTGTTTGGTTCGTTGCCAGAATTCCTAGTTGATAATCCCTTCTGGTCAGTGTTCTGACCTTCAATATGCAGCCAGCGAAGCCAACCGTTGTGTCAGGTAGTCTGCAGTAGCCTTCTTAAAATGCTTTTGATGACGTGTACACCAAATCTCTAAACCATATAGAAGCATCGACTGAGTGACTTGACATTAGCGCTGAAAATCAGAACTTTGTTCTTTATACCACTGAGTACGACAGATCTCCACACTCGTTTCATACTAATGAAGATCTGTCTAGGTTTACCAAATCTTTCTTTGACATCCTCACCTATGTACCACAAGGAATTCTAAGAGACAGTCAATCAGTCGACAGCAAATTTGGTGAAGAGGATGGAAGTAGATTAGACACATACATTTAGAAAACTAACAGATGACATCACATGCTTGGTAAACTATTCAAGGGAACACAAATGTGAAGTGAGAGACTACTTGTATGTAGGTCGAACGATGGTGACATAGAGGAGATCGTGTAATGAGGAGAAAAAGAGGGCATGTGGACAGTCGTGGAATTACTTGAAAGTGATCATGGAGATTGGGAATGGATTGGAGATGTTCCCCCAAAGGAAACCTTATGTTCTACTGTGGACGTATCACCAAATCCGCATTAAGTGTCCTTATAAATGAACAGACGTTCAGCAAAGAGTATCTCCGTTTACCAGAGATATCATTCTCAATTCACACAATCATATACATGCATATGATGCATTGTCATAGCGCACCACAAGGAACGATTTCACATTTGAGTGTGATTGAAATTGTAAATGTTTTATAGACAACAATTATGAAATATAGAAGGCATTAACAAAACAGGTGGTTCAGAGAAAAGGCTCTCCCATAGGCTAATTCATTCTCTCCTCTTTAGAGCTGTACAACTGAATTTATATGCGATCTCTTTCACGTAGAAAACGGCAGTAACAAAAATGATAAACTGTTATCTTAATCACAGTTGTTAATGTTAGTGAGTGATAAAAAAGTTGAATAAGTGTATTACAGTTACGCAATAAGACGGATGGCTTAATGAATGAGTTGCAGTGCAATGAGTTGCAACAGTGCAGAATACGTGTCCAGTGATCAACAAACCTGGCGAACTAATATAATTGTGCATGCAGAAGTGGTGAGATACACGGTCTTGTCTTTATGGCTTCTGTGGACCGATGGACAAATAGAGAACAAGTTGCTCTTGGTGTTTCTGTGATGAATATTCCTCTCAGTGATGCTGAAATTCTTCTTTGAGGATATCGCAGGTTAATTCTCCATTGGAAATCCGGTTCCAATTAAAGTTTCTCTTCTGGGAAATGTAATGGTTCATTCCTCTGGACCTTCAGTTGCTCTGATGTTCTTGTCAGTGAATCTTTATGTGTACCCATTATCAGAAGGTTCACTTCTCCTTCCAAGGGGTCAAGACTGCAGACGTCACTTCAGATCCGACTGGTAAGGGATTTAATTAGATTTCTCTTTCGTTCAATGAGCATCTAACCGTAGAAACTTGTTAGTTCACCATTGTTCTAAGTTTGATTTGTATTAACTGGTATTCTCCAATTTCCGTTGGGTCTTCTTGTTAGATGCATATGAAAATAAAGAGTATTTCTCATTCATTTTCCATTTCCGGAGTGAATTTTAATGCTAGGTGGCAGTTGTTAAATACATGTAACAATTGATGACTGTGGTTATAACTATTGTCGCCAATAATGAAGATTTCATCTAGGTACATTTTTTATACAGCTGTAAACTGTCAGTAGTCCACTTTAATGGACTGTTCTCAAGACTAACCTGCTAGTAATTGACACACAGGGGATACAAACTGCAATATACCATCCTTTTGTTCGCAGATGGTGAGTGTGAACTGTGCATTGAAAGTACAGCTCAGCGGTTCTTCCAAATTTTTTTCACTCTATTTTCCTTTGGAGTAGAATATACAACTTTTAGCTTAAGCTTGGAAATTCCATTAGTAATGGTGAGGTTACTAGCCTCATATCAAATCTTGCTTTCTTTCCCTCATGGAGAAAATTTATTTTGATAAAGTTTCAAAGTGTTGCTATGCAGTATTATCTACTGATCACAACGGTTCGACCACAATTTATTGCTCCTCTGAATCATATCAAGGCACTACTCACAAAAATTTCCTACTTCGTCTACATATAATTCCACTATTTTTTATCTCTTGATTTGATTGGTAGTAATATTTTCCATATCTCTAGTATTGATGATGAGTCATTCCTATTGGCATGTGTTGGGTGTAGTAGATTCGATGAACAAAGATTCATTAATAAAACTGTCTGTCTCCATCTACCCACATTACTTTTTAGAATAGTAACTCTGTCTCACTCCACTGTATGGTTGGTTGCGTGTTAATGCATGCAGTGCAATTGCGGGGACAACCATTCGACATTTAGCTAAATTTGTATGTTCTGATAATCGAAACACCCTGGACCTACTGGTTTCCTCTATGTAGTTGACTTAACAATGAGCCATTGCAAGATATGTTGTGAATTATATTATTTTCTCTAATCGGGTCAACAGGGTCCTTTGGCCTACAGAGCTTGTCCTACCTGAGTGAGTTTGTAGGTTAAAATGCCACCCTACTTCCTGCTTTGTTAAGAATCCTACAAGAAGGGTTTCAGATGCCCCCTCTTCAAATAGTATAACTGTAGATGTCTTATATTCTCTCTTATTTATGCTATCATTATTGGTTCCCCCAAGCATGTCTTCACACAGAGCGGATGAGATGAATTAAGTATCTAAATATCTTTTAGAATGCATTGGCTTTTCATGAACACTAGTGTGAAGTTTACCTCTTCTTTGTGCTAGTTTTATTTCAGAATCTAACATGATAGGCAATTCTTCCTGTTCACTTTCCTATTCATATGTGAATATTATTCCCTTTACTATAGAGTTTGTCTTATGTGTTTAAAGAAACTAGAGATATGTTCTGTTTTTAACATAGTGAAAGTGCTATATCCACATATCTCCACACTATTTTTGGAGTGGCATAATTGCGTAAAGAACCAGATTTTCCCAGCTATCATCCGTAAAGATATCTGCTACGATTGGAAGGAATATTGGTGATCCATCGCTTTGCTACACCTTCTGTTTTTCTATATATTTTGCCCTGTAATTTAAAAGTATTAGACGTGAAGCGTCACTGAATTCCTAAAATAATATATTCAGTAGGTAGCCTTGTCCGATAAATAAAACCTTCCGCGATTGTTTGACGCGCATTATACCGCTGAAACAGTAGCTCACATCACTTGATTATTTTACAAATACCTATCGTGAAAAGACAAAGTGCGATTACTACCCCCTGGATTCCTTCCGTCCTTCTCTACTGCTCATGGACATGGAAGATGTCGGTATTTTATCTCCTGTATAAGGTTGCGTATTATATGGGTAGTGGTAATGAGATCAGTTGACAGTGTAAGGTAGAGAGGAAAAAGAGGATTGACTGTCTCCGCTGAACACCTCTTCGTTTATGATAATAACTAGCCAGCCAATAGTCATCAGCAGTTACCATCGTTAGCCTTTGCCTTATTACTGATTAATCTATTTAAGTAATATATGTCTGTAAATAAAGAAGAAAATAGTTTGTTGAAAAAAAATTATCCAAATACCAGTTATTTTTGTACATACTTACTCCCAATATTCTGTAGTGGCATCAACTGCCAACACGCTTTGATTACTCCCCTGTATAGTCGCAATATTATGAGTAGTATTAGTATATTGCAATATCGTCTCATTTTTCGGTTGATTTGTAAACACAGTACACGCGGGTGTATTCCACGGCTGGCCACATTTAGTCCAAGGGAGTTCAGTTGTAAATGAGGAGAATATGAAATGAAATGCCCAGGATAATATCACGGTGTAATAGCAATTTAGGTAGAAATTGATCATAGTACATGCGAAACCGATACCTGAATGGAAGGAAAAGTAATATATGTATATATATATATATATATATAGGAGGGTAATAATATGTTAATATTCGTAACATCCCTTTAGGTTCTTAGTGGAACACCATTTCATCCTGTTCTCTGCAGTCATCTTTGGTCGTCTCTCAGTCAAAAGCTACATGACAATGCCACATGTCAGGTGAAGCACAATGGAAAACTCAGAGCAACCGTGACTTTGAAGTGAAGAAAGGTGTGGGAGGGCAAGAACTAATATCAAAGATGAAACTCCTGATTGTATTGAACTGGAATTTGCGGATGACTGTGAGTGAGGAGCGAGAAGATGCGAAAAAGTTGGACCGATAAGAAGATTGGAGATGACGAAGTTTGCGTGGATGATTTATGTTTAATTTCCCACACAAACTTGAAGATCTACAGGAGAAAACCTACAATCTGCCAGAAGAAGCAGGCAGCGAAGACAGGCAGATGTCAAGTGAACATAGGGAACACAGAGGTGATGAAGACTACTCACCAACCAATAAAAAAAGCACGAATCACTATTAGCGGGAGAAATTTAGGAGAGGCGACTTCCTTTCACTTGTCTATGCAGCATCATTCCAGCTACAGGCGGTTGAACGGATGGGGATAGAAGGACCAGACTTTCAGTCAGCACTCTGAAGCGCACAGTGAAAGATTCGAATTTTTAACACCAATGTTAGGTAAGTGAGTTCTTCTCTATGGGTTAGAAACTTGGCCAGCGCGTCAGGTAGAGCATCTCCAGTAGACCACTCCAGATGTTTATCAACAGCTCTCTCCTCTGGCTCAGTAGTGAAGTTAAGACACCAGGCTAGTAAGAAAATAAGCATCAAGAAACAGTGGGGGTCTTTTGCAAAAGAAAATGGAGATGCGACGGAAACAGGCGGAGGAGATGACATCGCACTGCAGGCCATCGTTCGAGTGGCACACGAATGGGAAATGACAAGTTATGCGAGTGTCTGAGGGTGACATGGAGGATATCGTGTGAAGGGAGGAGATTAGAGACCATAGGAAGCTTATGTAGACTGTTACCTCAAAGCTCGTTTTGGCGTTGAATCGAAGAACAAAGATTCAGGGATTAACCTCTCCTTTTCTCTCTCCACTAGACTACATTACTTTTGAACACTTTCATCCTTACCATCCACCATGTTGTGACTGATTACACTCAAGTGAACTGCATCGCATGAGCCAAGCCCTCCTTTCTAGATTACTGAACTTAGCAGGGTCAGTAATTCTACATCTAGCTAAATTCCTGTTTCTATGGTGATCTAATTGATCATGACCTACTAGTTGGACTGATGATGCAATTGACCTCACTCGCTGTCATTACATGGTATTTGTATGTAATTCTGCCTAACTGGATCATTCGGATCCTCCAGCTAACAAAGTGTGTCTCTAAGTGAGTTGGTTGGTTGGCTGGTTTGAATGACGTTCACGTTTCTACTATGTAGGGACTCTGGTGTTCCTTCCTTATAGTTGGAAATACATTCGAGACTTTGAATTCCTTATGTTCTTGGAGTTTAGCATTTATCCATAATTTTGATGGGTATGAAAACTTTAAGCGTATCACGATCTGAAGAATAAATTGATTTATGCCACTTTTCATGATACGTTAGCTCCTTAAAGTCACTTCAGTTTGTCCTCTAACGAATTTCCAAGTGGAACGTAAGGCTTCACCTGGGGGCACATTGCATCCAGTTCTCTGCAGTCTTTCGTCTCGCTGGCTCTGTGATTACCTACAGGCTTTCATCACTTCCATGTCACAGTTAAACTAACTTTCAAGCCGTCGTTTACTTCTCACTTGGATTTTGTTCCAGGGTTTACCTGACTGGCAGTGTCAATCAATGATTTCCTCAGAATGTGTCTAATCCCCCCATCTCCGTTTCTTTCTGCAAACTTGTGAGGAGATAGGTTGCTTGTTGGTTCGTTGCTTGTCCGAGTTATATTTCCCTGATCGTTTGTCTATGTGTGACGTCAGTTGAAAGCATTCAGGTATAAATGGATGCGTCCATAAGTTTGCCATATGTATGAAAAGCACTAAAACTGGACAAATAGACCACAGCGGATATGCTGATGCCATTATTACAGGATGTTCAGAAGGAGCGAAAGATGCATTGGATACAGAACCCCGTTAGCCCAGAACAAGGTGGCTTCAGAAAAGGCAAAATATGCGCTGGTCACACTGCGAACATACGCATTATCATTATCTAAAACAGCATAGAATGGAAATCAAACCTCTGCGACATTTTATTCAACTAGTTTGAAAAGGCCTAAAATGGAATGACCGAGAAGTGATTAGGAAATTAATTCAACATTATGGTGTTTAGTGCCAAAATCTTTAACAACCTCATTTGACAGCTATTTGATGACAGTGCTACATGTCGTGATCCAGAACAGGAAATTCAGAAAAACCCAACTTGAAAGTGGAGAGATAATTAAAACAAAGCAGCCTATTACCACCCACTGTGATATTCCCAACTGTGGGGTAATGGATTGTGAAAAAAATCGTGTCTAGGGGACGAGACAACAGGAATACGTTAGACCGACAAGAAGCCTCTAGAAGATATGAACTTCGCACAGATGATTTATGTCTAATGTCACACAAAAACTCAAAGAAGACTTATGGGAAACGACCAACAACAAGTTGGCAGAAAAAGCAGGCGGGAGAGACAGGACACTTCAAGTGGACATAGAGACGGTGTAGGTGGTGAAAACAAACAACCAACCAACAACAACTACCAGCACTTATCACAATCGACGGGGAAAATTTGAAGGAGTTCACTCCTTTCACTTATCCCATCTGAGCAGAATCTCTTCTGCTGCAGGAGATGGTAGGGATGAAGATGTCAAAGCAAAACCAATATCGGAAAAGCAAGGCAGATCTTCATCAATGTGGAACCAGTCTGAAAATCTTATGAACTCTGCAGAATAAACAACAGTATTTGGATTTTCAACACTAATGCTGAGTCAGTTTGTCAGACATCCAATATGGGTCAGAAACATGGCCAGCGAGTCACAGAAATCATTTGGAACAGGCTACTGTGGAAATTTGTCAGCAGCTGCCTTCGTTGGATCCATACTGAAGATCGAATGACTAAAAGGAATTAGCAACAAGAAACTCTGGCAGACAATGAATCAACCAGCAGCCCAGTGCCTGCCCAAAGAATATGAAGTAAGAAATGAGGATGAATTGGGGGCACTGAGGAGACCGTCAAATGACATTACTCAACAAACCATCGCTCGAGTGTAAGGCGAACGGGAAATCACGACTAGGGTGTGTGAGTCTTGGGGTGGCATGGAGGAGGAGATAAGAGACTGTTGGCGGTAGTGACGCAAGCTAGTGAAAGAGGACCACAGAATATAGAACAAAGTGATATGCTGTTGAAGCCCTATTTTCCATTCGGAACCCAAGTGAACAATCACAATAATAACTAATGGGAAGTCACATACATTTCTTGTCTTCACCTACGTATAATTTTGGTTCCCATTTTACTTTTGTGGGTCAAATTTGTTGGTGAAATTTCGGCACACTGAAACATTTATTGATGGCATGAATAGAAATTCATCAAGTACGTTTCATCCTTTCTGGGACTTATCACTTGATGAGGTGTGCCTGCAACTCATAAGTGAATAATAGTGTTTCCAGCAATACTGGTACACGCAAACACCCGTCGTTGCAAATACGAAAGCAAGGTTGACTATGCTGTTGAGTTCGAAAAACCCGCCTCCCTCTTGTTCAGCTGGTATCGGTTCTGTACTCAGACACGAAGTAATAAATAGTATCATGCGTGTCTAGTACTCTATTTGGTGCATATTGAATTCTCTCAGTCAGTCAAGTTTACAATGTGGCCACTGTGCTAGGTTGTGGCTTACCCTCACAGTGAACTCTAAATGGTTGAAGGCAATCTGCCACAGGGAGTTGCGCAGGGACCTGCGTCTTGAGTTTGTTTGTACTTGTACTACTCAGTCAGCAAGGCGCATCTGAAGGAACTCATGTCCCTTCTGAGGTTTGAACTTGTGTCCTTCAGTTCTATGGTCCGAGACATTACCACTATGCTATTCGGGCTCGTAAGTGACTTCTTTATCGGTTCTAATTTGCTGAAATTGCAAATTCTCTGGTAAATGACGTCATTAATTATTATTAAAGATTGGGTCTCTGTTGACATATAAGCTCCTGGTAAGGACGGCAGCTCAGATGATGACTTCATCCTGATATGACGTCATTTGATTGATCCACACTTTCTTTTTTATCGGGTTTGCTATCAATGAGGAGCCCAGTCTGGAAAATGAACGTGACTGTTAAGTCACATAGGCCAATTTGAGAACCGTTCATGTGATCAAACTGAGTGTTGAACCCAATAATTTCAGGTTACCTGGTGAACTCATTGACTGTTTGGCCAGTATTCACTTTGGTTGAACAGGTTTAACTTTCCGCATGATCAGATATTACTGAAGTCTATCTGGAAGAAGAACAAGCCGTTCAACAAATTATCCCTTAAAATTTCTTACAAGCAAAAATTAAAATTCTGCCAAGTAAAATTCTGAGTCGCATCATCCTGGAGAGGATAAAGGACGCACTGGATACAGAACTCCGACCAGAACAAGCTGGATTCAGCTGAAAGTAAGCTCAGTAAAGATGGAAGGTTGAGCGTGATGTTAGCGACTGCATCCTGTGCAAATAGAGACACCAATGTCCCTGGAACTTCAAAGTTCAAACTTATCTCATATATCCCTGAATTGATGACAAATAGTCAGGATTGATGTGGCTAACAGCGGCGCACTGCCATAGGCCAACTGGTAGGGTAGATGGGCTACCGTAACTTGGAAACCATGGTTTTAAATCTTACCATGACTAAAATTTCTCCTCAAATTTCAACTTCGGTCATTATATTTGTATTCATTTGTGATGATAATTACTCAACTGATGACCTCTTTGGAAAATTTATTGATTGTAAGATATCTATGCTTTTCACTATTGAAGAGCAGTGGACTTCCACAAGTTACTTCTCAAATGTCATGCTATTCTGAAAAGAAGTTGAAAAGACAGACCTACCAAAAGCCCACCTTTTAAGGGTATTAGATGAACTTCAGCTGTTAAACATCTTTAGGGAGAAAGAGAAGCCGTATCCATTCTTTATGCTACAAAATTCCTGCAAATTTTCTCTGTGGATATATTCGATAAAGTCGGGAAAAAGCTTTGTAGAACACTATTAAATATTTTAATTTAGTTGCGTTCTATGAGCTGCGCTGGTTGTGAATTTAATTGCAAAACTTTCATTGTCCCCCTTCTAGACAACAACTTCCTTCATCACAGATTCTAGTATCCACTGAACTTATTTGAGTTCATGAATGATGATATAATTTTATCTCCTGACAGACAACATTTGTCGTGATTGGTTTTTAATTTACACCCCTATCGGTCATTTTTATTGACTTGACGTGAGAACTAACACAGGAAATTGAGAAACACAAGTATACAGAAAATCAACGTACACACGGACCAAATATCCAACTGTATTAACAATCACCCAGGGACTTACAAAAGAAACTGTGTGCAGACATTGTTTAGAAGAGTCCGAACACACTGTAGCACTTAGGTCCTGTCAAAAGAATGGAAGAGAAATACCTATTAACCGTCTTCAAAAAGAATGAATTTCCATAAAGTTTCATCAAAAAGTGTTTAAACACAAGCCATACTACCAACAAGAAACTGTCTTCAAAGACCACAAGAAAATTCACTCTACAATAAATAAAAAATATCTCTGAAATAACGACCGGAGTACTGAGACGGTTTGAAACAGCACAGAAGCCAACATTAGATATTGTGCAAATCAAAAGATTTAACAGAAAGAGCAGATAAAATTAATACCATTTACAAAATAAGTTGTATGAATTGCAATAAACATTGCATCGGTCAAAATGGGGACACCCTCCGGAATCCGAATCGAAGAACACAAGTGAGCTGTGAAAAGACCCGATTCATATTCTTTCATATCGGTGCATGTAGATAATTAGGACACAAATTCAGTGACTAAGATAATGTAGAAATTTTAAATAGGGGAAACATCGAAGATGCAGTCAAGGACTTTCTAGAAGCCTGGTACTCAGATGAATCAGCAATTAACAAACACATTACTATAGACCAGGTTTACCAGCTAATAAAACAAAAAAATAAATCACATGACAAGAAAGTTCAAATTCCAAGTCTATAAAAATCATCAAAAAGACGTAAATTGACAACCAATCGTGTCTGTCATGAGATGCACTTATTTTATCAACTATGGAGAATTCAGATGAGTTCAGTTCATACTAAATCCTGCGCTGAAGATGTTGCCTAGAAGGAAAGAAATGATCAAAGCTCCGCAATTAAATCTACAATCAGCTCAGATCAGAGAACACAACCAAATCAAAAACATTTACCTGAGCTACACATCTTTTGCATTACTACATTATTAAATAATATTACGGGCTAAATTAATTCAACGACTAGATGACAGTGTCACATGCCAAGTGATCCACAACGAAAAACTCACCGAATACTGCTTTAGAAGTGAACACAGGAGTGGGAAGACATAGGCTGAATAATATCGCCTACGATTATATTCGTGATTGTAACCAACTGGATAATGTCAAAAGCCTTTGTGTGGAGAGTGAGAATCTAGGAGTACGCTGGAACGATAAGAAGACTCCAGAAGATCTGGCCTTCTTGCAGATGATTTATGTCTAATGTCATAAAAACTCGTGGACTTACAGGTGAAGCCCGAGAAGTTGGCAGAGGAGGTAAGGAGCAAAGACACGACTCAGTGTGAGTATAGAGGAAATAGAAATGATTAAGATAAGCAACCAACCAACGATAATAGGCATCAGTCGCTATCAGAGGAATAGACTTGATGGAGACCACTTCCTCCGTTTTTCCAGGCAGCGTCGTTTCAAATACTGGCGATGGTGCAAATAAGGATGTCAAAGCCTGTGGTGGTGGGGAATTCAGGGCACAACTTCATTATTTTGCGTTCAGTTTGTAAATCTTCTCAACTCCACCTCAATATAAAGTACAAGATTGGGATTTTCAGCGTAAATGTTAAGTCATTCAGTTTTTATAAACAGGTCTGAGAAGAGCATTTCGAATAGGCTAATCTGGCAGACTTTTATTAACAGCTGTCTTCGCTGGGTACATATTCATGAGCAGATTAGCAACGAGAAAGAATCGGTGGCAAGAACGTCTGGTAACAGAACAGTCAAGAATCTGCTGCTCAAAAAATATTCCAAAGAAAATGGAGACAGATGGATCCGGCTCATACACTGAAGAGACCGTCGAATGATATCATGCGCCAACTATGCCATCACTCGAGTAGAATCCGAATGGCAAACGAAGAGTTGTGCGCATGTGTGTGCCGAAGGGTGGCATGCAGAAGATTATGTAGTGAGGAGAGGTAGGAGATGAGGAAAAAAGTGAAATCGTGAGACTAGCCAGCAAAAGAGGATTACAGGGAACAGGAGATAAGCATCGGTTGAAGTCATTGAGTGCTCCACTTGGAACTTAATGGAAGACAGTGGTAATGAACATACCCAACCAACCAACGAAAAAAAACACCGGTCATCATCAGTAGGAAACGTCTGAAAGTGGAATCATCTGTTCCAGTTACCTGAAATAGACTGAGTCGTTTCAATTCAAGGATTTCAAAGCCAGCCAGTCAAGATAGGAAAATAAGCATGACAGTGGGAAATCAGTGTAGAAATCTGTTGTGATACTGATGTCAAGTCTGCCGGTACTGCTGTATGGTTCGAAGACGACATAAGTTTCACCAAAAGGCGTTTTTGGTATGCTATAGACTTCCAACAACAGCTGCCATCTGTGACTTCATACTGAATACTAAATGGCTGGTCAGAAAGTATGGATAGATTCAAATATTAAAAAGACTGTTGCAGAGAAGAAAATCTTTTCGACGAATTCATCATCAACTGGTTAGCTGTACATTTCTGCATTTTTGGGAAATGGGTGGGAAAGCCCCAGAACTGTTGCCGGTCAGCCAAGGGGCAAACTAATAAGATTACAAAATATAATCAACAAGAAAATCGGATAAAACATAGTAAGATGGATAAGTAGTAGCATTATTCCAGAACTATTTCAGGTAAAACGCACTTGAGAACACCATTTAGCCTAGCTGAATAGCAAAGGGTGAACGCAAGCGTGTATTTGGTTCAGTTACAGGACATCTGGTGAACTCAGGACATTCAGCTCTATTCAGGGAAAAATCCGTCAAAGTCATATACAAGACCCAGTCAAACCTCCCTCACAAAGGTAATGAAATTAAGGCATCTGGCTGGGAATAGCTGAGGCACTAGCAGCGATCAAAAAGTTCAGGACCACTCTACCGGCATTCATCAAAAGAAATACGTCCAGCTTCCGATGACTTTGAATGAATATAGGGGAGATAAAGCTGAGGAAGATGCTCGATAACTAACAAAAAAATATGCACCAGTTACCATCAGCAAGATAAATCTGAAGAAGGCTGTCTCTTATTCTTATCTATCAACTATGGGAAATGCAGCTGACGAGGATATGAAAGGCAGGATAGGAAAATCAAGACAGAGGCCTTCACTAATAATCTGAAATCAATATAGAAATTTACTGCACTAACTCAGCATAAGTAACAATATTCAGATTTTAAAAAATTATTGTTTAGTCAATCAATGCTTCTGTAGGCTTCAAAGACTTGTCAAGAAGTGTCACGTAAAGCACAGGCAATAGACTGCTGTGGACTTTTACCAATAAATACCTCCACTACATAGGAATAATTAAACTGAAGCTAGAAGAAATTCATTTAGAAAAAAAGTGATTAGTTTTAATATAACTGGTTTGTACTCAAATATCTCCGGTGAATATAGCTACGAAGGCAGCTAGAAATGAACTGAACATTGATCCTGAACTCAAAAGTAGGTCTAAACTCTAAATTGATGAAATGAAATTGTGTGTTGACTTATGTCTGACCTCCACTGTATTCAAATTTCAAAATAAAGACTGAGTTGGCAAGGGGATCACCAATATTCCCAATAGTAGCTGACATATTCCTGGATAATAAAAGACAAATTCGGTGAAGAAAATTTTCTTTATCGACGAAATCACCTTCAGAGGCTGTACAGCCGTATTTATGTTTACCAAAAATGCAAGACAATTACTAGTTCAATTCTCGGGCACTTGGTGAACTCAAGCCAAGTAGTTCCACCAGAGTTGTCTTTCAAGATCATCTACAAGGTGAGGCCAAGTGGAACAAAGGGCGTCAGGTTTCGGCTTTTGTGTATGACGGAGGCGCTGGAAATTCTTCAATGCAACTTCGAACTCTGTATAAAGAAAAAGTTTGTCTAATCTCTTATTCCACCTTGGTCTTAACCTCTTCACTGGTCGTTCCCTGTGAAAAAATTTAATTTTTTTAAAATTTTTAATTTTAATTTTAGTTTGCTTTTACTTTAATAATTAATTCACCATTATCACTTTCATATGTTCCTACTGTACATTTTCACACCTTCTTCAAATTTGTTAAATTGACACTTAACTAATTTTATTCGCTCTCACTAATTAGCATTTTTAACCTTATAATAATAATAATAATAATAATTTGCTTTATTCCAAAACAGTACTTGTGATACAGAATGGAATTCTCAGCATTTTACTACAGTATTGCATCCAGTTAGTACAATGTCAATAAATAGAATTCTACATAGATTAAGGAAACCACAGTTCATTATTACAACAATACATTGGCATGTCGGCAGCAAAGGTAAAGCTGAAACAGTGTTTGAAGGTGTTAGAAAAGTGGAAGCTGTCTTATTAACTGGCATAAGCGAGTACTATTGAGTACTACATGATTTACAGCTTTTATTTTTTTTACTTCTAAAGCCACTTCCGAGTAATTATATCAATTATGTCACCCCCTATTACTCAATAATAGACCAACATACATTTTTGGTAAATATAAATACGACTCTACAGCCGCCTCTGAAGATGATTTCGTCAATAAAGAAAATTTTCTTCACTGAACTTGTCTTTTATTTTCTTCATGACTCAGTGGTTATTTTCTGTGATATTCATGGATAGCTGGGAACATAAAGCTCTCAGAATGTTCAGTCCTGCTAATAGTTAGGTTATGTTGGAGATATGTATGGATGACACACTGGCTACTGTGTGAAAATCTGAACATATCAACCCTTACTTCTTCAAACGCATATAAACTTAGCCGTAGATAGAATCTAATTCACTTGTTAGTTAGAAAACGAACAAGGTGATGAGCTGGCCATGGTAATTGCCTCCACGCTTTCCTGAACAGCAGATGTCCACGAACACGAACCTATCAATAACCAGTCGCCTTACAAATATACAGTTAGAAATAAAAGATGGATAGGACAGATTCTGAGGAGACGACTGAATGAAACTCGAATAAAAGCGATGAATTGGTTGTAGGTGCCAAGGTGATATATGGAGCCAGCTAAATAACAACTGCAGAGAACAGGAAGACACGGGAAGGTGCTTTCCAATAGGAACTTAGGGGGGCAATAATAGTAATACCAGTAATAAGAACAAGTGAAGAGGAAAGAATCGATATATATATATCACTTACCTTGGAATATTGGGCATATATTCCATGCTGCTATAACCCCGCGATGTGTATATTGTCCAATTGTCACCTCCAGCAGAAACAGTGGGATACCAGCAAGAAAAATACTTATGAAATAGGGGATAAGGAAAGCACCTGTAGAAATGAAATGTCGTTATGAAAAAACGAGAAAGAGTTAGACTGGATAAGACGAGTAAGGAAGAGGCAGGAATTACGCACATAATGGAGAAAATTTTATTTTGATAAAGTCTGACAGTGTTATACGATAATATTAAATGATCAAAAGCATAATATAACTAAAAGTGAAACTAATAATGATAACATAAGAAAGAATATTAGGCATCTCTAGTCTTACTAAATAAGGGGGAGGGAACCTGGGAGGGATCATCGGTACACACTTATGAACAGTTCAAAATTAGGACGAAACAGCTGTCCAGTGGTTCTTGGTTTTCAGTAATCTCTAAATGACATCGCTGATTCACGACATTTTCGCAACACATTTCGAACAATATGACAACACACGGACATGTCACAGGAATATACATATATATATCTGTCAGCAGTCTGATCTTCTCCCACTACCAGAGTCGGAATTCAAACGCCTACTGCTTATGTGTACCATGGATGTGCAATTCCAATTTGACAACACTCTTTACCGCCAAATAGATAGTGTAGCTATGGGCAGTCCACTTAGCCCTGTTTTAGCAGATATATTCATGTCCAACCTTGAAAGAACAAAGTTAAAGCATGCAATCAACAAAACAACTTCCTACTGTCGATATGTTGATGACACATTTATAGTGTGCAAAAGTGATAGTCATGCTTCACACCTACTAAGATTATTCAATGATGCACACGCCAATATCAAGTTCACAATGGAACATGAAAGTGATGGGAAGTTCCACTTCCTCGACATCGCCATGGAACGCCTAGATGACGGTAGTCTTCAAAAGTCAATTTATCGTAAGTCCACATGGAAAGGACAATACTTACATTTTAATAGCTTTTGTCCAAATAGCTATAAACGAGCACTGGTCAAGACTCTGTACTATAGAGCGAGAAGAATATACTCTGCAGAGAAACTAGAGTAAGAATTTGAGTTTCTTGAAAAGACATTGAAGAGCAATGGGTACCCTCAAAGGTTCATCAACAAGTATGGAAGATCTGCAGTCGCAAATGAAAAACAAATCACAGTAAGAAATAAGCCAATCTACTTTGAGCTTGATTATAAAGGTGAAAACATTTCAGCGATGATCAACAGAAGGCTGAGTACATCACTAGCCATAGCCTATCCTGCAGCTAAGCTCGTTCTCGTCTTTCGAACAGCTTGCTCTCTGGTGCAATCAAAAATCGATAGATATCCTTCTCATGTTAATTTCAACTGTATACACAAATTTACATGTATCTGCGGGAGCAGTTACATTGGAAGGACAGAAAGAAGGGCATATCTACGATTTTCTGAACATCTACCAAAAAGCTTATGTCTAAAGGGAACAAATGCTTTAAACAGTGCAATCGCCAGGCATCTCCTCGACACGGGTCATGAGGTGGACTTCAGAAAGTCGTTCAAAATTATCAATAGGCAAAAGAGCTCAATTCTCCTCAAGTTTACTGAAGCCATTTCCATCAAGCGCCTGAAACCTGATTTATGCGTCCAGAAAGAAGCGGTCATCAGTCTTTCTTTGCACTGGTAACTGGATATTTTCATCTCTCTTTCATCCGAATGCGAAATGCTGAAAAGTTTCCATTGTGTATGATTATCGTTGTTAGGAATAGTGTTTAATATTACTTATATTACTGTATGCATATATTGATCGATTGACTTTTGCTTAAAATGAAATCTGTGCAAGTATGTTAAAGTTGTTTTTGTAGATATATTTAATAATGTCTTTGGCCTGTAAGCAGCTGACGAGAAGGCAAAAACTGTATTTCTTGCTATTTTCAAATATATATGAAATTAATAAAGAGTTACGGGGTGAGAAAATAGACTTAGGTCAAGTTAAAAGGACATAATGAAAGTCAAAATAACAATGAAGATCACTAAACCAAAATAACAGAAGTGATAGCACAACTACCCTGGTATCAAAACAAACTTTACCAAGGAAGGCTAATTGTGATGACAAATTGCTGCTTTGAACGCATAAAGGTGGTTTAAACTGTCTAATTTCTAGGGCTTTCACAAACTTTAGGATACATCCTCCCCCATCCACCTTTTATAGATAGGTTTAAAAGACGTGTAAACGTCAATTGTATGTCCTGTCTGTATAATATGTTTTGCAGGATAAGAGCTACGTCGTCTGTTCTCACCATTGCTGGGTAGATGAGATTCCATTTGCTTACGAAGCCTTTAATTGAAAAGACTGATAATTCCTCCTTCCATTTACGCATGTGTGAACACATGTACACTTAAACTGGTAGATAAAGTGCTGTATTTGGCGTCATTTTTCCTTGTATGCTCTAAGGGCTTAGATAGATACATACAGGCATCAAATTCTCAATTATTCTGGTCTTAGGTGCATGAAGAGTCTTTTTAATTTCAGCGTTCAATCTTGTCGATTTATCAAACTACAATGATAACCCATGCGTTTAGTTGCCTGTTATATATGTCGTTGTTAGTGGCGAGTTGGAGAATGGGTCTTGTTGTTCTCCTGACCGTTTTATATCTTCTAATCATCTTGTCTATATAATTATTATAAATCAGAGTTTGTGTCAGTTTTCTTTCTTCATTTACAAGTGTGTATCTTCTGCGCATATTCGTTGAATCCCTACCAAAGAGACACATCTGTAAGACTCTTTTGTGCTGAACAGGAGAGAAGCTGTATAGTAAATAAGCTACTGCTCTATCCCGGTAGAATTTCTACTCGATCGTTAACTAAACCGTAGCTCTTATCTATGCCCAACCTATATCTTTCTCTACCCTAACCCTAACCCTAGTCTTCAAGCAACCAGATATCCTATTTTGTATTCTTATACCTATTCTTAGTGCGTCGGTGGCATAGCGGTTAGGACACTCGCCGACCGTGCACACGGTCCGGGGTTCGATCACCGGCCGACGCACTCCTTTACCTCGCTAAGCCAGAAATAATGCTGGTGAAGAGGAAAGGTTGGGCATGAGGCTAGCAACCCCATCCTGTAAAATAAACACTGCTACAGAAACTTCAAGCCTCTAGCTTGAAGCCCTATGTTCCACTGGGGAACGCGAAGGGAAAAAATACCTATTCTTCATAGGGATTTGCATTAATCTTTTCACGAAGATTTTTTCACAAACCACTAGCATCAACTAGAGGTCATTGAAAACACCTGTGAGCACTGGATATGGCAGCGCCATGCTGCATTGCCATTTTCCAATATCAAATGATTTTGTGCCTACATCAGCTAAACTGTAAACAGTTTAGGCACCAAAGTTTCGTATATGACACAAATGCTAAGTTAATCAGTCACTGCTTATATATATATGTCGGAAACTTGACATTTTCGACAGGCAACTGTAGACTTTTATCAATAGCTACCTTCGGTGGATGCATAAAGAAGATCGAATGGCTTGTGAGAAATAATTTTCAACAATAAACTTTGGGAACAAACTAACCATGAGCCTATAGTTCAACAAATATGTAGGATAAAATGGGGGTGGATTGGGCATACTTTGAAGAAACTGTAGAATGACATCGTAAAACACACAGTTCCTCGAGGGGAATCCAAATGAGAAAAGACGAATTGAGAGTGTTCGAGGCTGACATGTAAGAGATCGTGTGACATGGAGGAGATGAGAGACTATGGGCAATTTTCGGTCCAGATAAAGTTAAATAGAACAAAGTGGAGACGTGCTCTTGTAGGCTTTTTTTCTGCTCGAAACCCAAGGGAACAATAGTAATAATAATAATAGACCAGTAGGCCGATGAGAGTCACTTTTGTGCAACGAGTATATAAGGTGGGAGTTAGTGCTTTTGATATATTCAGTTGACTGGGGGCTCACTGTCCAAAGCAACGAATTTGTCAGTATGCACTTCTCCTGATGCAGCATAGTTTTGTGCCTAGGAGTTCCTAATATCAATCGCTTCAGTTCTATATCCAATAGACTGATACGAAGTCATTTTTGATGCGACGCGAAGAGTAATTGTCATCTTCAATGCTTTCGGTCTTTCCACTCTAAATTATGACACAAAACGGTGCTTTGGATGGTTTTCGCATGTCGTTTACTAAACTATTCAGTTAAAAAGTCATCATAAATTTAGGCTTAATTATCATTGCATGTGTGGGAGAGGCCCATTAGTTTTCGGTCTCAAAAGTCTGAAGACACTAGTTCGCCTTGCACTTCTACATCTCCAGTTTTATGGGTTCTTTGGAAGGAGGCCACTTCAGAACTTCTTTTTGGAATAAAGTAAATTATTATTATTAAGCATTATTAAATGTAACCAGTTCAGAGTATCTGTTTCCACTGTGTGTACAGTCAACAAATGACAATAGTTCTCTAATCTCTGTCTGTACCTTTGCGTTAACTGAAAAAATTTATAATTGTGTGCAACTGTAATACAGTGTCATGATATTCTAGGCTTGGAATTCTAGAGGGGGATACCAATCATACTGACTAATAAATATCTAATGATTACTGTCGATTTCACACTGATTTGGTCAGCGGTTTGTGATAAATTTCAAAGACGAGTTGTGCAATGGACTAACTGTTTTTATAAACCCCTCCTGGATGACTATATATATAGTATTATTATTTAGACCTTCCAACTAACTTTGTAATTATTGTACGCATTTCCACTAGACTGTGTGTGTATCATTAATTTCAATATAGCAAAAATATTCATTCAGACATCTTCAAAACACAAAATAATCGAGCATAGAATATTTTTTTTGATATTATTTAAAAAACGCTAATATTGATATTAACTACTAATTTAAATTATTCTGTTTATATAAACATATATATAATTGTAGGGCCTGGAAGAAGAATTTATCAAAAAAATATTCTTTGCTCGATTATTTTGTGTATCATTAATTTGATATTCGCATATCACAATTTGATTTTTGACCTTAAATGTTTGCCTCTGTCCTTGTTCAACCTTTATTTGTAATACTTCTCTTTGTGGTTTTGCAATACACGTTCACAATGTGTTGTTTAACGATAT